GATCTCTCCAAAATCCACACACAAGGCTTTCCTCCTAGCCAATAGATCTTCTCCTGTTTCTCCAGCTAAATTATCCCCGTCCTTCTGAGAGTCCTTGTCAGGGTTGCCCTCTATGGAAAGGGTGACAAATGCACAATGCTCATTGGTTTACACACACGACTCCTGGGCAGTGAAGTGGGAGATCCTCAGGGCTTGGCTGGATGAGAGGTTGTGGTAACACACTTGCAATGAAGTTATGCTGCCAGGGAGCAGAGGAGCAGGTGCAGGATGTGCAGTGGTGTATCCATGAAAATGGAAGTGACCTCTGAAAGAAATCCCAAAGTCAAAGGATTCAGAGAAAGACCCAAATCTTTTGCAAGTATCATAATGCTGATGCACTGGAAATAGAGGGAATATTTATGGAGTTGTACTTGATCCTTCTCCACAATGGCTATTAATAGTGCAGGCCTTACACGGAACAGTAGTTTTATTCTGGGGCTGCAGGATCAAGTCCAAATGTTATTGTGATGCTTATTTGGCATTTTTCATTGTGTAGAGCTGTGTGGCACTATGTGTAGAATCAATACTAAATTGGATAATGAGGAAAACCCAGCTCTCATGGCTGAACACTCATCCTGAAGTCTGAAGGTTTTATTTTCTTGTCCTTGTTACATTTTAAAAACTGGATGGATTAAAATGGGAACATCTGACATTCACCACCTTTCCCATCTCTGTTGGATGCATCAAGAAAGGTTTAACTGTTATATGTACCGTTTTAAAGATGCCAAGCAACAGCTTCTGGACTTTGATTAGGTTTGATTAAGTTTGATGCATAAAGATGCTGGACCAAGGCCTTGCACATGGTTTCAAGACTAGAGGCTTGATCATGTATAAATACATGATCTGCAGAAGGGCACTGCACCATTTTATTTTAAATCTGTTTCTCAAAAGATTTAGATACACCGGTGCTTTTTGTGGTTTATTGGTGGCTTGTTTTAGTTTAACCTATGGAAGGTGTGGGCAGCCTCCACTCCTCCAAGAAGTCCTGCTTAGGAATATGCATCAAAGGTCTGAGTGACCTCTCATGCATACACCATGATCAGGAAGGATCAATGATTGCCAATTTTAGTTTGCCTTAAACAAGCCCTTTATTTTTTTAAGCTAAACCCAAATAAGTGGAACTTCACAGGGTTTTGCTCAAGTTTAACTGAAATTACATCTCTTGTTAACTCACTGCATCTTTTAAAGCCATGTAACTGTAGGAAAAGCCTCCTCCCAAAGCCCCTGTCCCTGAAGAGAACAAAAACCTCCTTTCAAGCAAAAATGGATTGGAACAATGATCCCAAAAACAAGACACCAGCACTCATTGTGAATGCATTCTGTTAAGGAGCAAATATATTCTCATTTTATTTGTAAAATATTCTTCTCTAAGGGCAAAATACTTTTTACAAAAATTAGTAAAAATTGATACAGTTCCAACAAAAATGGAGAAACATTTACGAGGTCCGTGTCCCCCTGCCTCCCCCCTGCATTGTTACGTTTCTTTTCAAAGTGGAAGATAGAGGTATGCACCACATTACCAAAATTCAGTGCTAAATAGATCATTCCATAAATATATCACTCTCACACTAACATCTGTGGATGACAGTGGGAAAACGTTCTGTGTAGCTACTGAAAAAATATAAGTATTTTTGGCAGTTTCTGAGTTTTGTACCCGGAAATATCTACATACTAGATTGTAAGACATTGGCATTGTACAAAAAGAGTCTTACAGAACAATAATCATAGGAGTGTGTCGGTCATAACGCAGAACAACAGCAAATGTTACATTTGAAGCCTAAATAGTAATGGTATAAATCTCTACTGAAAATTAAATTATTTAGTTAAGCCTCAGTAGTCATGGAAAGCCCAATCTGGCAAGCTGTTCCATGTGCCCATATACAACCCTGGGGAAGTAACTAGGGCTCTGCAGGAAGTGGAACAATTTCGAGACTGGGTTCTTGGTGTGAATCAAACAGCAGTATCTGCTTCTGATTCTCTGTTATACTGATGTAAATATGAGAGAGTTCCAGGACTTCTAAAACAACTGCTTCAGGTTTACAACAAAATAAGTTATCAGAATTTGGCCTGCTGTACGTTAGAGAAAATGACTGGGCCACAACAACACAATTTAAAAAAAAAAAAAGGTGCAAACAGCAGCAGATAAAGCAAACGGCTACATTACTTAAAATTAAAAAAAAATAACATTTTAAAAGCACACAACTTCTCTGAAGTATGTGAGTTAAGTTTTGCTCAAGATGATGGACATACATTCCTTAATGTCTTGCACAAATGGCTAGGCATTATGCATCATATTGTTTTAAAGCTGCCTAACAACAATAAGTACAGCATAAAAATACACGGTTTTGGTAAGGAATTGGGCCATGAGACAACCTTCTGAAATGAGCACTGAGTGTTTTTCTTGTCTCCTTCCCAGCTAGTAATGACATCTGAATTCAAAGACTATTCCAGGAAAATGCATGATGTAAATAAGCTCTTAAAATTTACTAGAATGGCCTATATCTTCATTTACCACTTTCACAAGGACATTGTATATGCTTACCTACAGTGAAATTTTTGTGCAGTAGTCAGATACTCTACATCATATTTAAAGTCACATTGCTTATTGTTATAAATAAAATATTTAGGAACACAATACCAGGACTTTGGGAGACAAAAATTATTTTATAAGATGACAAAACCTCTGCATTACTTGCCATTGTAAAAGTAAATTAAATAATGTTTTCATGGTTATTATGAAAAATCCTAAACCCCTTAGAGAAGATGGATCTTGGTCACATTCTGTCCTGATACAAGTAGGCACAAGTCCAATGAGGGAGGTCACAGTTATATACCCATACATGAGATATTGTAATGCCTCCTCTTTATTTGTGATCCTTCTAAAACTGTTTCTGTGAACAGTTTAATAGTTTAAGGTAACACTGGATCTGACACAATTGATGGTATGAGTTCATACATCAGCAAGTCATTGTATAGAAATGGAAGTGGGATATGAAGTCGTTGCACAGAACACAACTCACAGGAAAGTAAGTGATGGTGCAAGATAAAAAATACTTCTATCCCCATGTGCAAGATATTCTGGTTTATCAATATGCAACTTATACCACCATTCACACTTCCTCTGAACTCTGACATACAATGTCTTAGTAGTTCTTTTTCTTTGGTTGGCTCACAAGTCATGCTCTTTTAAATTCCAGCACTTGTCAGTTTTGAGATCACCTATTAATTTTATCTATGAACCAGTTAAAATAGAATTGAGTATATTCATTAACAAACTAACAAAAAAAAAGTAGGCTACATTTCTTAAAACACCTGGCCATAACTGAAGCAAATCAGCCAAACAACATTTTCTCTTCCCTTCAAACACAAATGTTTAAATTCACGGCACAACTTGTGCCACTGAATTTCAATTTATGAATGAAATTGAGGGGGTTGTGGAAATGCATCCTGAATACATGTAGTAACCTAGAATTGGATGGCAAATGATTTTCTAGTCATACATTTATTGTGGATAATACATTTAAACACTGTTGAAATGAAGATGCTTTGTTGATAAACTGAATATGAAATCTTTTGTGTAGGCAGAGAGGAAAACAGGGATACAGTACCTATTTCTGAGGCACTGCATTTCAGTAATCCTGGCTGATTATTTTGGAGATGATTTCTTAAATATGATTCTGATCTTTGCATTTTCACCTTGAGTCTGAATTTGTAAGAACAGGATGGTAAGTACTTTGACCAAAAAATAAAAACATAAACCCTCAAGCCACAGAGTTTATATGCTTAATAGTTCACAGGAGCCCAGAACACTAAAAAGTGATGATTAAAAGAATCTTGGCTGGTGTAAGAACTGTCATCTTAGTCATTATGTGGATGAACTGCTGGACCTCCAGCTAGACGGGCCAATGGCTTGATTCTACACACACCAAAATCCATGGAAATGACTACCTGAGTTTGGATTAGGATCTGGGTTCTCTAGCTGCAACCTAGAGATGTAGCAGATCTATATCCACTGTGGATTAAGATTGGGAGTGGGATATGTATCTCTGAACAGTGGGTCAAGTTGGCATGTTAAGTCCTGATAGTTTTTTTCTTTTAGAGTAGGTGCAGATGTTACATTTAGATCAACCTAATTAAGGTCTGTGCAGATGTTTGGGGAGGTTAAATCAGGCAAAAAAAAAAAATGCTGTGTTCGATCTAAACTACTTCACCTAAGGAAGTGAACTCGGATTGGGAACAGATTAGCCCAAGCTAGTGAATGAAAGCCCAGCTGCTTGCCCCAGCCCTGGGGTTGAGCTCTTCCTACCCTGACCAGGCTATTTTTAGTCCCCCAACTCCACCAGGCACAGACTGACAGCACCCCCTGCAGACTTGTCAGCCCCCTTCCCCAGATCTTGCCAACCCACTCCCAGACCTGCCCCTGTGGCCCTGCTAGCCTCCCCAATCTTGCCTGCCCTTCCCCTGTCCTAAGTTACTTACACCAGTTTCCCAGAACAGCTTGCAGCACTGGTGAACGTCTGCATGCACCGCTTCTGATCTGTGATGACACCACCTAAAGCAAACCCTGCGATTGCAGACCAGGTGTGGTGGACATCTGCATGAACCCTTAATTTTTTTTTATTTACAGTCCAAAATGGAAACAGAACCAAATATTGTTTTTTAATAATCACTGCAGGCCAGAACCAAGCCACAGGAAAGAGGAAAGTATTACTTACCAGGAATTGTTGTGTTTCTCTTTCCTTTTCCTACAGCAAAGTCTCTGCTGCAGGACTGGTAGGGGAAAGGGGTGGGGGGAAGAATACGGGAGATGCAAGGCATATCAGCTTGATGCAGTACAAATCACTCTCTCCTTTCTCTATTGGATTTTTCCCTTGTTATATTATCCAGTTGCAGAACAAATTTACCTCCCCCGCCATCATAAACTCGATCCAGGATGGTCCAAATGGACTGTATTCCTTTGCTGAGGAAGGAACATTGTTTTCCCCTTCCTCTTTGTTGCTCCTGACCTGATATGCAGTGTGCTTCTTGTAGTTGAAGTAATCTAATGTGGGCTCGATACTTTAGAGGAAGCAGATGCTGATCAGATGAGTGCCAGTTAAACCCTAGTAAGAATGAAGGAAGTACTTTCAATAACTGGCATGAGTGCCAGTGGCTCTAGGAGGCAGGGTCCCTAAGTCTCCTGCGAACTTTGGTCTCATGACGTATATTATATAGTGCTGCTGACTACCCAACAAGATCAGCTTTGTATAGTACAACCTACTGCAGGGCTCCAAAAATATGCAAAATGATTGTTAGCTTTTTAGTCTGTAAGATTGATAGTGTCACTTTCATATGGCTTCACTGAAGTGGGGCTTTGGGGAGGACTCTTTTCACTTGGTGGTGGTGCTGCCAATACTCTCCTCCGGACTCCAGCTGTAGCCTTCTTGTGATCATGTCTGAGACTGCGGATTGTACTGTTTATGGCAGCCACACATGCTTTCCAATCGTATCCAGTTTCCTTTAGATCAAAAGATGGATAATTCTCCTGAAGAAAGTCTAAACAATAAATGAGCAAGTAATAAGTCAGTTATTTATGCAAGTTATATTTTCACTCTCATGTTTTAATTGGATATAACTGGACCAAAATGAGTGCATTCTACCAATATAAAAAGGCATTAAGCAACAAGAGTCAAAATTGAAGCAATGATGAGATCTATTTTGCAATGGCATTTTTTTTTAGTTGAACTATATAAAAGTGAGTAGTGGCCTTAAAAGAGGAAGGAAATGTGAAAAGAGTTCGATGAACTCAAATCTTCAAAATGCTAAGCTCAAAGTGCTTAACTCCCACTGAAATCAGCAGGAGCGGGAGAGACTCAGCATTCAGTCAAGCAGGTGCCCAGCACTATACAAGACCAGCCCTAATTTAGAAGGTTTGTGATAATTTGGTTTGCTAACAAGAACCAAGGTAATTTAGCAGAAAACAACTGTACAGAAATAATAATGAAAGAAAAACTGCAAGTGTTTGTACTTTATTGCGTCAGAATCAAAGCAATAAAAGAATACTCAGTGTAAGTAGCACCATAAGTAAATAAAGTAATGCTGCTGCTTCTTTAATAGCCAAGACAAGCAATTCCCAATTACTTTTTTAAAATCCAAGAGTGATTGTATTTCACATTGCTTAATTGGATTACATCTCTCAAAATCAGCATTTACCAGTTTTTCAATTTCAAAGTACAAACAAGTACATTGTTCCTAAGCCCTCTGCTCAATACATAATTTATGCTGGCAAAATGTCATCTGTGGTTATTTTTATGCCATTTCAATTTAAAACCAGTTTTCCTTTCCTTTCATGTGCCTCTATGGTAGAAGCTTAATAAAGATGGTCAATCAGTCTCACTGTTTTATCTGCTATTTAACGGGAAGCAAATCTCACCCTGAAGAGTCAAAACTCCTCAAAATGATGAACTCCTCAAGTGCTTCCCACATTGCCAACCAGCTTCTGTAGTACCTCATAATGCAACCAGCATCTTTTATGAGATGAGAAGGCTGCTGGCTCAGTTTTTTCTTTTCTGCTCACCATGACAATCAGTGCAACAGACCATGCTATGTGGCTCCAGAGTCACAAGATTTTACCACCGCAGATTCTCAATATCAGCCCCAATCTCATTTCTTTCCTTTCCCCAAACTAAGGGGAAAAAGAAATGGGAGGGAAAAGGAGGGGGGACATTTTGGTTTCCATCCACTAAGGCTTCAAAGAAATGAGACCAAATCTTTTCAGATGCATCTGGCATCCCTCACCTCCGGAATATGATCTGGGTCTTAGTCTAGCTCGGGCTTGCCAAGTAATTCCCTAGTACCATTTCTGCTACCATTACCGCCTTTAGCCATACCTGCTTAGGTAACTGCAGCCACTTTGGCTCTGATCATCCTTCCCTACAGTAACTCATATACATTTTACTTACAAGCTGCTTCTCTCACCCAGTGCCTACTTATTACACTACTACTTCTACTGCCACCCTCATGGTTTTGCTTGCTTTTAATAGCACTGCAGGAAGGAAAGGCAGATTCGAACAGAAAGAGTCAGCCATTCAGCAAGAAGGGAAGCATTCTGCATTGGGCTCAAAAAGTAAGCAACAAACACCTTGGTGACCTCAATCACTGATAATCCTTTTGTTCTGTGACCCCCAGCAACAGGACCTTATATATAAATCCAACTACATGATTCCTTTCCCCCCTCCTCTTGAATATAATTTGTGATAGTTGATACCGGTCTACTTGGCCATGCTGCATCATTGGTCATATCGGAAGAGCGCTACTTGTAGTTTAGAAAGGCATGCTCTGACACACAGAAATTGGCCAGGCAAATCAAGCTGATAGGCTAAAGATCAAATTTTGCCAATTTATCTGGGGTGGAGTGCTGAAGTCTTGCTTACACAATCAGCACTCAGACTCTATCCCTTAGCATTTGCTGCCTGGCACAGTGAGACAGAGTACTAGATGGACCTGTGGTCTGTCCCAGTGTGGCATTTCTTATGTTAAGTCCTCTTCAGGGGACTGTTTTTTTTGAATATTTGGCTTATGCTCAGAACAGTTCTTGCAATATCAAGAGGTTTTTGAGACAGGCTCCATTTTTTGAGAGTGTGCATCAGGTCAAGGTGGCCAACCTGCGGCAGGCTCTGTGTACGGTACGTGACAGTCTAGTGAAGAGAAAGGGAGCAGAGATGCAGATAGGACAGGGAGGAGAAATCAGAATAGAAGCTTAGGCAGAGGACAGGGGTTGGAATGGCACTCAGAGAGGATGTGGGGCTAACTTGTGGCATGCCTGCCAAAAAGGTTGGCACCCGCTGCATTACAGAGAATTCAATAGTTTTGTATCAGTGTAATGAAAGCTGGGTTTGGTAGCTGGTGTAGTTCTTTCTGGATTTGGTTTCCTTCCCACACATTCTTCTGCCTCTTATATTTTAACACACCTCTAATACTTGTTGCACCATATCTTATTTTCTTAATCCCATGCTTCAGGCCTTCTATTGGCCATCTTCAAGAAGCAGGAAGGATTTATTTTTCTCCTTTGAATGCATTATTTGGCTTCTGGATTTTCCCCCTTTCTCTGAAGTACTGGAGGATGGAAAATTGATGCTCTTAGTGCTACTGAAAAACCTCTTTGGTTCCTGACTAATGGACTTGCTCAGAGGCTGAGGGTTAAGGCCACCTGCTAAGGGAGACAGGAACGAATTCTCCTTCAGGTCAGACTGGCAAGGACCACTGGGTGTTTTGGGGTTTTTTTTGTCTCTGTGGTGTGGAGCATGGTCCTCTTTCTGGGGTTACCTGGGTATATTTCACATTAAAAAAAAACCTGCCATTGCAGTGGCCAAGACATTGGTGGTGCCTTTGTCTCTCCTGCAGCACTTTGTAGAGTTTTTTTGCTTCATTATGAGATGCCTGTTGCTGTGGCGTGCAAGAGGGGTTGAACAAAAGTTCTTTTGTATGATTTTGGACAAGCATTTACAGCAGTAATAGGGGACATTGTTCCTGTGTTCTTCTGCTCATCTTGGGATACCATTTCAAGAGGCTTTTTAATCCTGCTGCTTAAGGGCATAATACAGCAATAAATTTCCCATCTAAAGCTTCTACTCAGTTGGGTCACTTGCTGACTTTTATGAGTACTTAATTCCTTTGCTAGCTGGGCCCACTTAATTGAATAAGCGCGTATGGTCCCCAAACCATCAGATCTTAAAAGGGGAAGTCTATTCTGTTACCCTCTCCTACATCACTCTTCCTGGTTATGCCTATGATCTCATGGGACAGTTTTATGAGATGTTTCTGAAGCTGTGTAGCTTTTTACTAGAAGACAAAGTTAGTCATTCTGGTTTATCCCCTGACCAATCTTTAAGTCTAGGGACAGAAGTTACACATAAGCTAGTTTAAAGTGATCAGAAACTAGTTAAAACCTGTAACAAAACAAAAGTTTAGTGCACGTAAACCAGTTTCAAAATGGCCAGAACTGGTTTAAGATGAACCTGGTTTAATGTAGTATCAGACTTAAATGACTGAGTTCTAACCAGTTTATAGAACTTCTTTCCCAAACCCCTTCCTGGTTTAAGTTAAATCCCAGCATCCCAGTATGCTTTTCAGCCCAGGGCTCTATGCTGTCTGCTTTAGAGAGCATGGCCAGCCCTGCCCCCTGCTCTCTAGCCAAAGCAGGGCAGGGGCGTGGCCAGATGCTGACAGGTATGGCCCCCTAAAGCAAAGGGGGCAGGGAGGGTGATTATTTCCCACTCCCTCCCCTCTCCCCTTTAGGGGACCCCATCCAGAGTTTGCTTGGCAAAGGCAGAGCAGTCCCTGTCAGGCATTCCCACAACTCGCTGCTTGAGCTGAAGGTGGCATGGCCAGCCCCAACAGAAGCCTGATGCAACGGAAAGATGGAGGGGGGTTCAATTCCCCCCTCTCTTCCCCCTCTCACTGGCATGGGCCCCAGTTGGGGTCTTCCAGGCAAAGACACAGCAGCCCCCGTCAGGTATTTTCCACCTACCCGCTTACCACTAGAGGCTGGCCACATCCCCCACTGCTCAAGTGGTGAGATGGTGGGGATGGGAAATGCCTAATGGGAGCTGCTGCACCCCTGCCTGACCCAGCTGGGGTCCATGCTGGTGGGACAAGGGAGGGAATTAAACCCCCCTCCACCTCCATTCGCTTCACACTGCTGCCTTAGCTGGCCACACCCCTTACCCCTCCCACACCCATCACCCACTGCTCGAGCTGGGGGGGCTGCTTTCCCCCTCCAGGTACACCCTGACTGGGGACTGTGCATGCCAGGGTCGGGGTTTAAACCCCTCCCCAGTCATACTCAGCCTGCTGGGGCCTGCCCATACCACCCCCTCAGCACAGCATCTCAGCAGCCAAGGGCTCACTCTAGTGCCCCCTGGTTTCTAGCCTCTGCCACTACAGGCATGTGCCCACATTTCTGGAATCAAAAGTGAATGTCTAGTCACTTCCTTGCCAGTTCAATCTACACAGGTTAGACTAACCTGCAAAGGTTGAATTGATTCAGGCTCAGGCTTTTTGAATGTCTGTATTTAAGCCTAAAAGAGAGTTTACATTCACCTACCTCTGAGAGCATTGATCTTATTGCAGTCCAGAGGGCTCATGCCACGCTCCAGATTGCCATACACATTACTTTTCACCAGTACGTCCTCTGTGAAAAGATGGCGTATCAAGTAGCGAGCTGACAACTCTGGCCGAGATTTTCCCTTGGCAACATAAATAACTGAGAAGGGCAGCTGAACGTTGCGCCACGGACTCCCAAGCAGTTCTGGAGAGAAAGTTAAAATGGTAACTATTTTATTTACATTATTTAGGCACATTATACTAAAAACAAACAAGACAATTCTCTTCCCTCCAGACTCCAAAGAGTTAGTCAAAAAGGCCAGCTGCAAAGATATAAAACACTCATACCAAGAGAGACAGAGTAAGCACCTTTCATTCTGAAAGAACTCATATCACTTGTACACTGTATAGCAAAATAGGTCACTAGAGCTACCACTATAATTTAATAGTTTGGGAGTGGAAATGTGACAGCCAGCTAGGCAGACAGCTAGCACCAAGCATACTTAATGTAAAAGGGTAAGGAATAAAATGTTATCCACAACATGAAACAAATCCCTGGTTTTCCAAATGACATCATGAGAATTTTAGCTATCATGGTCCTATCAGTATGACCAATGAAAATAGCTCTGTGACAGTAATATATGAAATCCCATGCATCTAAATGGATGGGGTGCTGTTAAATACATTTTAGCTCTTCTGTGCAGTAGTATGATAATACTTCTGCTATACTTTCAGTAATGCTATTCATGTCATGTGTCTTGCTTAAGGACTGCTTCCTGGACTGAATTCTTGCCTTTAAAAAAGGGCCCTGCTTTACTGTGACAGTATTAAAACCTTCCCGCCGAGAACTGAAAACAGAATGAATATTCTTATTACTCTGAACCTAAATCTGTTCCATTAATAATGAATCAATAATAAAAGCTGCATTACAGGAAGCAAAAAGAAAAGGAAACCAGGTCTGCTGCATAGAAGGGTGAGGGTCATGTCACCTTTTGCATGTGGTGTTGAGCTTGCTAAAACTCCATCTTGCTCATATCCAAACGTATTGCTTCTAAGAGGAACTGAAAACAGAGAATTTCCCTTGTAGCTCTCTTGCCATGATATGCCACACAAGGCATCTTGTGTTACTGATGCATTTGTAAAATGGTGAATTTTTACTACAGCAACTGTTAAAGGTTTGGGGGATTATTTTGGAAATTGCTACAAAATTTAGCATTACGATAGATGTTTCTTCTCAAATGAGAGAGAGACTTTCCTGTTTAACAAATCCAGCTTAGAACATTTATTATTTCTGCCAGCAAAGGGGGAAAATAGGGTAAGTAATGAAGGAATTCTCAAAATGCTAAATGGACTATAATATTTTCTTTCCTACAACATGCCCGCAGATATACATATATACACATATATATTTCATACACACACGCCTTGTTTTTGAACACCAGAATGAAGAAAAAAGATTTTTCCAGTATGGCTGAATACTGCAGAGACAGAGCCTAGTCTTCAACTGACCCACCTTTCTTTTCCTGCATAACTATAGCTGAATCCCTAGCTGAAACTAAAGACTGTTCTCCATGGAAGGGTCTATGATTTTGAAAAGGGCTAAGGAGTGTGAGCTAAGGAGGGTGTGAAATACAGAAACCTGAAGCAGCTTGTAGGCAGTAACATCTAAGAGAGGTGAGCTTGATTAGTAGAACATCAAGACAATACCTATAGAGTGTAGAAAAACGAGTCATTATGTCAATTCATTCCCTCAGCTGCCTGAATAAGTAATACCACAGCTGCTACACTGTGGAGCAGGAATCAAAATAGGGTGTTTCTAACTTCAGACTTAAGTTTGAAACTGAAGTTGGTTTCAGTTAACTAAGTGAAATTCTGATTAATACATGCACCCTAATTTTGGAGAGCTGTTTTCTGGAGAAAATGAATGCCACATATAAAAAAAATACTGTATTCCCCATGTGATTTTTTCTGCATCTAACTTTACAGTAGAAGTGCAAAGTTTTGCTGTGTTATGGGACAAAAGTGGATGGAAAAACTGTTGATTCGTTAGCTAAAAAAATAATCTTGTGGGTCTGTAAACCCTATTTTTCATTGGGAGGACTCAAGGTCCTGAATTTCATAATTTCACCAGCCAAAGTATCATAGCTATTTTGTGGTAGTAAACTACATACTTCTAAAATGGTTGTTTACAATATAATGTGTGTGAATACAGAAGATGAAAGTTTCATCACTTACCCATTGGTTCCAAAGACGGTAGTTTATTGGCCGAAGATGCACGGAACACCTCTGGGGCTTTATCCCATATAGAGTTCTGAAGTCTGTTTGTTGTTGCACTGGTCATTTTCTGAGAGGTTTGAGAATTGACTTCACCATCATCCCCACTATAATTTAAATCCACGCAAATGGATGTATCTGGAGTGTCAGCCATTTTTTCTTTCCCTTCTGCTATCTCCTGAAATACACAAACAAGGTTAACAGATACATTGAGAGAAAACCATTAGTTTTCTAGTGAGTGTTCTAAACAAGTTTCCGAAAAAAAGAAATTAAATTCTACAGATGTAAGAAATAGCTAATTGTCCACTTCAACAGTAAAAGCTACAAGCGAGCCAGATACAAAACACTTGTTAAGTAACACACGGCATTTTAGAAAGTCATTATACAGAGCTCCAAGTGCTTTGGGAGGTAATATACCAGTGTGATATAAAGACCTGAAGTGCACAAATGCATCTCACTGTGTGGAAGCCAGTGACAGCATGCAGAGGAAGCAGCATCCTTGTATATACAACCCCTGCAACCCTTGTATGTACAAAGGTTTGCAAAAATAAAAGGAAAAAAAGGGATGACTTACTGGGTTTATTTTGGTTTCAGAGCGTAGGCAGCGGATCATGGCATTGACATTTGTGATGCATGTTTTCCAGTCTTTTCCATATTCACTCAGATCATAAGTTGGGAAATTAGTTGCAAGAAATTCTGCACATAAAATGAGGGAAATATTTTACGTTATGTGGTAATAAAGAAGCATTAAAAGTGTTTTAAGAGGATATACATTGATTTAATGCATCAACCAAGATCTGTGAATGAAATTAAGGTTTTCAATTCATATTTAAGAATTATGACAATATGAAGGAAAGTATGAAAGTATACTTCTGCAACTGTACATAGTAAGTAACATTTTCATTACTCAGTATTTCTTAGTTGATACATTAAAACAGTTTAAGTTTGCCTGGCTACCAGCCTAGATGACAAAACCAGCAGAAAGGCTAACATACCCATTTAACAGTTTTTATGAACTGTGGTTTCTTTTCTGTCGAGACAAAAAAAAATCTGTAACTACAACGAATGTCTTATACACTAACTTATGAAAAACAACAGCTTATGTATATGGCCTGCATTCATGCTCACGTGCAGGTATGTTTGCTGTAATGGCAGGGACAGGCTAGGGAAGGAATTTCTCAAAAATGTCATTAATATTAGGGCTGTGCAAAATAGCACCATTTCATTTTGACTTCCATTTCACCGTTTCAAAGAGACAGTGTTTCATTTCACTGTTTTGAAGCACCATTCCGTTCTGTTTCATCACAATTGTTTAGCTGTTTCAATGCTGTTTTGACACGTTCTGACATTTTGCCCATAGGTTATAATGGGGAATCATGAAAATGCCTATAATTTTGTCACTTCTTTCCTGATTCAGATGAAACTTGCAGGAATGGTAGCCCCTTCTGAGGGCATACATCCTGCAAAGTTTCAAGGAGATAGGCGCAGGGGTTACTGGGAAACTGCACCTCAAACTGTTCAAAGCAAAACTCTTATCACTTGCTGGCAGCAGCAGCCTGCTGGCATCCCACGTGCAAATCTGGGGGCCTGCACCCCTGAGGAGGGCTGCGGGCTGTGCTGGACTCTTCCTGGGAGTGTGGGTCCCCGGATCTGCATGCAGGAGGACAGCAGGTTGCCACTGCTGGCTGGGACCAGCGCTTGGCGCAGCCTGCACCAAGCACCGGGAAGACTGGTGCTGCCACTGGCCCCAGCCAGAAGCAGCAGCCTGCTGTCATCCCATGTGCAGATCTGAGGGGCCACGCGCCCCAGGAGGCCCGCGAGGCTGTGCCAGACTCTTCCCCGGGGGGAGGGCCCCCAGATATCCATGGAGAATGACAGCAGGCTGCCACTGCCAGCTGGAACCAGCACCAGAGTCTGCCTGGAGCAGCCAGCGCTGAGCACTGGGAAGAATCCAGTGCTGGCGCTGGCCCCAGCCGGCAGCGGCAGCCTGCTGGCATCCTGCACACAGTTCAGGAGGCCTGGACCCTCGAGAGGGTTGTGGGTCTATGCCAGACTCCTTCTGGAGGGCGCAAGCCCCCAGATCTGTGAGTAGGATGACAGCATGCTGCTGCCGCTGGCTGGGACTGGCACTTGGTGCAGACTGTGCTGGGCTCCGGGAAGACTGGTACTGCTGCTGGCCCCAGCTGGCCTGTGCCCCCTGAGAGGAGTCTGGCACAGCCCCACAGCCCTTCTGGGGGGGCGTGGGCCCCTGGATCTCAGCATGCGGTTTCAGCAGGCTGCTGTTGCCGGCTGGGGAAATAGCTGAGAACTGCCACCGTCACCAGATGGCAGCAGCAGCCTGCTGTCATCCCGCATCATCCGGAAGCCCATGCCCCTCAGGAAGAGCTGGGGGAAGTGATCAGAGAGGTGGGGGAAAGATCAGGGAGCTGGCGAATCCAACTGGGAACTGGGGGAATGTTCCTGGTTGGATTCCCCAGCTGGTCCCTGAACATTCCCCCAGCTCCCGGTTTGATTCCCCAGCTCTCTGATTGCTTCCCCCAGCTCTTCCTGGGGGGCACGGTCCCCCGGATCTGCGCACAGAGTTTCAGAGGCAGCCTGCTGAAACCCCACATGCAGATCAGGGGGCCGTGGCCCCTGGAAATAGCTGGGGAAACAATCAGAGAGCCAGGGAAAGAGATCAGAGAGGTGGGGAATCAAACAGATGTCAATATCAGAGAAGTCCTTCCCTCCTCTGCTTAGTTTCCATTTAGCTGCAAGCAAGCCCAAATTCAAAACTCAAAACGTTTTGAAACTTGCTAAATGTTTTGAGTGTGCTTGTTTTGTTTTGAAGCTGTTTTGAGGCATTTTGTTTCATTTCAATTTTGCTGTTTTGAGCTCAAAATGTGTTGAAACAGCTTTGAAACGAAACATCTGTTGAAATTTCGCACAGCCCTAATTACTATCCATATTCTAAACAAGCAAGAAAATGGAAGTTAGGTGACAAACGTGTCCACTGATTTGTCTGTTAATATGCCCATTAACTTTGTGGACATATAATTTAAAATAAATATAAGTGGTTTTGAATGATAAACAATAAGAATATAAAATTATGAATAATGAGAGAAATTCCAGAAATAGTAGAAGTGTGAGCAACTGAGGTAAGTTGGATTCAAATGTTCCTCAAAACTAAAATGCACAGTGATGCCTATATCCACTACTGGCTAATCTAGGTGCTGTATAACAACTAATCAGAAGGTAGATATTACACAATGAAAAGTTATAATTTAACAATTCAGGTAAGCTGATAAGGAAGAGCAGTGAGCTATATATATTTAAAAAACTGAACATACCTCTTATTGCAGCAACCTTGTTAGGATCCAGTGTTCTGCGCCCCCGTGCACTTACACCCATAATGCTACACAGTAACGTTTCTTTGGGGAACAAGACACGAACTAAGTAGCGTGCTGCATACTTTGGCTTGGTTTTTTGTCGAGCCTTCATCAAATAGTTGCCAAGAACTTTTATATTTCTCGATGGGTCACCAATATACTCTTTGTAAAACAAAAGCATTTAAAGAAGATTAAACAAACTGCTGAAAAAGGAGCTCTCCCCAAACCAATTTCTCACTTTTGCACTAAGTAATGGTCAGCTCATTTAGAAATGTGTTTCTCAAGCTTTCTCCGATAAAATTAGGTCAGCTATATATTATCTGCCTTTGCACTTACAGGAAGGCAAAAAATTGTGTTGGTTAACCTTATCTATTTGCCCAAACTGACTAAGCAACAGCATCTAGAAAAAAGCATTAAGCACATAAAAGTTCAAATCATCATAATGCCCTAGTTTGTTAATATGCATATAAGTATATCTAACTTTTCCAGATAAATTCTTACAATTTATTACTATTTTATTAGCATTTTCATGCTGGTATTTACATGTGCACAAACAGAAATTGAATGGAGGTGCCTGTGAATGTTGCTGAAGAGTGAAGTAAATAATGTGCAACTATCAGATGCATATACTTTTGAGACTCAAAAATGCCACAAGACTCAAGGGTATATGTGCATTTTGAAAAAGGGACTTCACATTACATAATGGCACATGTATAATCCAATGCCGTATACAGCTCTTTTTCATGGTCTCTAAACTTAAATATTTTGGAAAAACAAAAAGGTTTTGGGGACTGTAAGGTTCTCTCACTTACCGAACAGTCCACTTGCGGAACATGAGAGGGACTTTGACATATTCTATATACGAGTTAATTTTCCTCCTATAAAACACTGTCAAGTTGCTTTCTCTAAAAGAGAACAAGTGATGGCCTCCTGTTTAACAGAAGTGTCTATTAAGTATGATAATGTTTAGTTTTCATTACGAAGTATCAAGAAAATCCTTTAGTTTACTTTTTTCCCCCTTTAAATACTGCACTTTATTGTTACAGCTTCAGAAATTTTAGTGATGTATATAGGCTTTTTGTATTTGCAAGAGGTCCTAGCTGTTGTATTGCATTAGGCAAAATGAGTACACAGCATGAAAACAGCTTATATCAGTAGGACAGAACAAGAAGAGGGTGCATTCTTAATGTAATCCTAAATCACTGTCTCCACTTGTAAATAAAAAGTTTGTTGAACTGCACAGGTTATTCTGCATATCAAAGTAAGTCTAATGTAAAAATCAACTGAAACTCTTTGTCAGTGCAGTATGCATACTTTTTTTTTTTTTTTTTTACATTTGAGGCAGTCAGTTCAGCTGCTTTATTTTTGTCAGAAAAGTGATTTTTCTCATGTGATATAAAAGGATAAAGTTACATGTTACACTTAAACTAAAGGCATTTAAATGTGAGTATCCACAGATTAAAGCTCATTAAACTTGTGCTAAGCACTCTCTCAGTGTCTCAAAGTTATACCACATCAGATGAGGATTAACACTGGGTTGTGCTATCTTAGCTCATGCTAGGGTAATTTCAGTCTGCTTCACATATATAAAATGAGTGTGTAGTCCTCCAGAATCCCAGGATGCACTGTTCCCAGTACCCTCCCACTCACCCCTCAGCAGGGGTACAGCCTGGATATCCTGGCTCCTAGGCATGCCCCTGCTCATCAGCCCTTTAGTGGCAAGTCACACTGGGTGCCTATAGACATGTAGCAAGGCTGCTCCAACGTGCTGTAATTACAGTGCATTGGAGCAGACTGAATTAATTGAGTCTGCTGGAGCATATTAATTACTGCACTCCAGCAGACTCCACCATCACGTGTCTCAGCATCCCTGTGCTTTTTGCAGCACAAGGACGCTGATATACGTGATGCTCCGAAAGCCGCTATAATTAAAGCACCCCCCTGGTCCCACTCCTGGATCACATCTATAAACACCCATTTATTTCTTATGGCTGTAGCCAATGGTTTCAGTGCTAAATCAAACAGAAGTGGGGTTGATAATGGGCAACTTTGTTGAGTCCTCTTTGTAAGGGAAATGGATCAGGTAACATCAGGTAACATATTATTGGTCACATTTTATTCCCTGTTACTATCTACTCTACTATTCTGAGCATATGCTACCTGCAACTCACCATAACTAAGATTGATAGAGACAGATGATGATGGCAGCTCTTTCGCACTTCCTGCAGAAGCTCTGTAGTTCATCATCATGGTGTTTCTTCCCAGACTGGTTTCAGGGGGTGTTGGCATCACTGATGACACAAGCGGTGAACCTGCTGCTGCTGATGCAATGTTGACTGTGCTTTCCACAACTGTGCTTGCAAGATTTGCTTGTGTAGGAAGGTCAGAGATCCTGTTACCCACTGTGAATGGTGAATGCAATGAACGAGTGGAAATGATAGTGGGTAGGGGTGGGCTCTGTCGAAGAACAGGTTGTTGTGATTCAAGTTGAAGAGTTTGTTGAACAGGTTTGATTGTAGAGTTGGCCTGGATACGGCTGTGGAGATGGTTCTTTTGTAGTCTAACCCTTATAGCAGGGCTATGCTTCCCCTGTTCTGGGGGAGAGAGCTGAAGACTTGACTCCCTCTCCATCTGTTTTTGTACTCTAATTTTTCCATGGGGTAAATGACTGGAACTTCTGTGTGTAAATCCAATGGGTCTCTGCGAATGTAATTTGAAAACAATATTTAAGTTAAACTATACAAAGTTGCTGATTAATTCTTTCTTAGGAAACAAGAGAGATTTCAATTGTTTGAAACTGATTAGACTTGTCCTATGGGTAGTTTCATTATAAAAATGCCAGTGCTATTGCCTTCTTCTTCCTACATCTATTTTGATAAATATCCACTTCTCAATTCAACTGCAAAAGGCACATCTACACTGTACTGGACAGTGCTACAAAAGGTCACCATGGAAGATGCTCTGCTCCCTCAATCCTGCTGTGTATGCACCACATATGGAAAATATTGTCACAGAACCACTTTCTGGCATGTGTCCAGTGCTACTCTCAGGCTCTCAACCTCAGGCATGCTCATAAGGATGGCTACATGAGATTTTTTTTAGCATGTGGACTGGGACAGAAATGAGACAAGTTTTTCATGGTGGTGCTTTAATGCAATATAGGCATGACCTAATATAGCCTTCATTTCTCATGTTCTTCCCCATGACTTGCTCTGTAATCTTCCTCCAAAGGACTGAAAATATAGGTTGTCTGTAGACATGTGGGATGCCTGCTCTGATGCACTGTGATTACAGCATGTGACAGCAGACTCAGCTAAACTAGTCTGCTGCCTCAGCGTCCTGTGTATTCAGTATCCAGCACTTCAAAATGGCAGCGGGGACGATTTAACTAAAGCTCATTTGATGAGATTTAGTTAAAGCGCTCCCACCACCATTTTGAAGTGCAGAGATGCTGAATACACAAGATACTGTGGGCACTTCAATTACAGCAGCTCCCAAGAGCTGCTCTAATTAAAGCACCATCTGCCCCTCACCCCACAACTCCTGGAGCATGTGTAAAAATGCCCATAGGTAGCAAAGAATAGAATTGTTTTTTTAGTAGCTGAGAATGGGTTGTTTTCATATAGTACTGGCTGAAAAATTCAGAGTTAGTCAGCTAGTCTATTGAGGTGCAAGAGGATGCTATTGCTGTATAAAAAAGGGAAACACATTTGGACATACACCTTTTTATATACTGTAAAGAAGCCAATAAAATACAGGTCAGAAAAAATGTTTTATCCCCAGCCTGCCTCTCATTTCATTCAGTGCTAGTTTTAAACATAAAACATTCAAGTCCTGTCTCACCTCAAAGATTCTATGAGTGGACATGGTTAGTATGGCAACATTTAGGGAGTAAAACTTCAGTACCATATTTACTTGATTCCAAGATGAGGTTTTTTTCCCCATTCAAAACGAGGAAAACAAAGCCTTGTCTTAGGGCCTGGTTACACACTAATTTTAGGCAGCTCCTGGAGCTCTTAGCCCCTGGACTATTCACACTTTAACCCCTGAAACTAGTTTTAAGTCCACTTTAGGTGGCTTAAGGTTATGCCACTCCAGTGAAGATTTATCTCTGATCCCAATTCATGATCCATTAATGTGTGGTCACTCACCACAGATGAGCTGCCCAAGTTTTAGTCCTCCAGCATCCCAGGATGCAGTGCCCCCTTTCCCACCCTCCTGTTTTGTGTGAGGACTTTCCATCCCCTGAACTCTACTGCCCAGGAGCAGTTCTGTTACCAAGCCATCTCCCCTCCTACCTCTGGAGGTGTGACCTTTCCATGCCTAGGGGTGCAACTCTATGCAAACAGCCTGCAGATTCCATGCCAGCTAGTTAGGTTGCAGATCATGGGCAGGTTCAGGAGTGGAGTTCTGGGGGTGGGGTGGGAACAAGATAGGGGGTTAGATCAGGTCCCCATGAGCTGAGGCTTCCTTCTTGGGGCAGGGACAGTAGCTCCCCAGAAAGTGCCTTCCTTCACCACTGCCACCTCCCAGCCACTCCAGGAAACATGATCAACACTCCACACCACATTCCCAATCCCAGTCTATTAAAAAAGGAGACCTTCTTTAATTTACTTTCTCTTAATTTCTTTTTAGAATCCTTGTATTTATTTTTTATTTTTATTTATTTATATTCCTTTTTTCTTTTTATTTTATTCTTCAGGGTCTGATTTCATTTCACCACCCTTTCCCCAACCCCATTTCCTTACCACCTCACATTTCATCATCCACCCCATCCCATTAACTCTCTGCCTCCCATCTTCGTGTTCCTGCCCCCCCATCCCTCTCCCACCCCACACCTAGAACAGGGATTGAATGTTGTCCTGGCTCACCAGCCCTGCGGTGGCAAGTCACAGCTGTAGCTCCTAGTCAGGCCCCTTATCAACAGGCCCTCTAGTCAAAAGTCACAGCTGTGCAGGTGGGGGACAGTCAGAGCAGCTTTTCAGCTTTAAGGTATGACTGCTCTAAACTTTAGCTAGCACTAACACTGATCTACATTTGAGTAGCTTGAAGTACAACATGTAACAAGTCCCATAGCTTTGAGTACTGGATCACTCCAGCCGACAACTGTGGGAAGACGCTGTGTGGGGAGCCCAGGTTGGCCAGCAATAGTAATAGTGGCATGCTGGCTATTCCTTCTAGCATCTGCTCTGTGCCTGGTTTCCCCCTTCCCAACACCCTTGCTGGCAGGGAGCAGAGGCTAGAAGGAGGAACCTACATGCTGGTGCTGCTGTCCCAGGCTGAGCTGGGGTCCAGCTCGCAGGCTGAGCTGGGCTCCCCACAGTTCCCAGCTGGAGTAGTCTGATTCCCAGCTGATGCAGGCATGAAGGGAGCCCCAGAGCCACTCCCGACCTACTCCCAGGAAGAGGAACCTGTGCACTACTACAGCTTCTCCCTCCCTGCACCACAAGGCTGGAGCGGGCCAGCAGCAGCTCCATTTGCCTGTCAGCCAGGAATCAGGCTGCTCCCACTGGAAGCTGGGGGGAGCAGCTGTGTAGAGAGCCCAGATTGGCCCGGGGCAGCATCAGCAGCATGCATACTCCTTCTTCTAGCATCTGCTCCCTACTTGTGAGGGAGCCAAGCAGGAGGCTGACACTGGAAGGAGAAACCTGAATGCTGCTGATGTTGTCCCTGGCCCAGCTGGGCTTCCTGGAGTGCAGGATAGGAGTGGGTCAAGAGCAACTCTGGGGCTCCTCCTGTGCCAGGATCAGCTAGTAACAGCAGCATAAGAGGAAGCAGGTGGTGGGGGAGGAGTAAGTGGTGGGAGCAAGGGTTAGGCTGCCTGCTTACCATGTCTCCTTGTCCTCCCCCTGCCAGCCCCCGCTGCTTTTCCCACTGCTTGCCCACCTACATCTGCTTTCCCACCATAGCAGTGGGGAGGAGGAAGGGTTAGGAATTTAAGATGGCCCTCTAATAATTAGAGATTCTAGACACGGAAAATTATAATTTTCCATGTCTAGAATCTAATTTTTAGGGAGGTTATCTTAAATTCAAAGTCAGCTTGGATCCAGGTAAATACAGTAGTTATGAGAAGAAAGGCTTGATGGTCAAAGCAAGATGTTTAGGTAATATCTACTTATTTTTAAATCATTAACATTGTGGAGAAAGAATGGCTTTGTGAGAATTTTAAATGCCATCACTTTTGGTTATGGAATAAGAGCTAGAAGTATGTGTTCTCTCCAAGATACCCAAGAAGAACTCCAGCAAAACTACAGAAGATCCAGAGAGGACAGCAAAGATTTATTATCTGTAAAACATGTTTTTCAATGAAAGCCTAAGAGAGTGCTATATATTATGTTAATTAAAGAGACATTCAAGACAACTTGATGATGGTTTATAATTAGGGAGAAGTGATCTAACACTAGAAAACTGTTCTGTCTAGCAGATCTAGTTGTTACAGTTCCAAAGGCTGAATTCAGTAGCATTCAACATGAAAAACTGATACCATGCAATCTTTTAATGAGGCTAATTAACTATTGAAATAAAGAAGTTGCATATTTTCCATCACTTGGAGCCCATATTGAGAATGAGTGTCTACATAAAATACACGGGAGGGCAGCTTTGCATCTAGGCGTCACCAGTTATCCCAGGCATAGAGCTTGGTTATTGGGCAAGATACAGGAGTTACCAGATGTAGTCTCTGGTCTGTACCAAAAAGGATGGACTCTTCTCTAGTCTGAGAAGTTTCTCCCTTATACATCATAAAAAACCAAAACATAAAAAAGGTTCTTCAAATAACTTTGAGATCATCTCTAATCTGAGAAGAATGTTAGGGAAAGTTGTCATAAGGCAGGTCAGAGAGAAGGTCATTGGGTCCTAGTGCCCCAGAGAGCTAAGCAGCACTGCTCTTTCCATTCTTGCTGAATTTGGGCAAATGAACCATTCACTGCTAGGGTTGTCAGGACAGTAATTATGGCCATGTACTTGTCTTGTGGCCCTGGGCATAAAGTGTTATGGTTTTTCATACTGGGTTGTTATGATATCACTCCTGCTGGACAGTTTTAAATCAGAGAAACTGCTCTGTTGATCACAGCTATGCAGCTCTCCCAGCATTCTCAACCACAGTCTAGGATGCTTTTCTTCTAATATTAGTTTGCTAATTAACTACAAATATTAATATCCTGTGTCTGTTTAACATCAGAATTAATATGCAATAGTGAGATGGATTAAGGTAGAGAGGAAAGTAATTTAATGCCGTTCATTCTTAAAAAAAACAACCAATCAACCAAACACACTAATCACATAGAGTAATATAGTAAGCATAGTGTCTGAGATCTAAAGCCAATTAAAATTACTTGTACAACTAAACTACATGAAGCCACATGATTTTATGCTGGCTTTGTACACCATCTCTTCCAGACAACAATGTAACATATATCAATCAGCTCCCTTTGGGTAGTTACTTTGGTAGGAGGTATTGCAATGCCTTGTCATTAGGTGATGGAGAACTGCTAATATCATGTTTGCACTGAGAAAATGACTATTCAGGAACAGAAGTGAACATAAGACACCTACACTGGTGTAACTTATATTGATATACCAGCAACAACTAAAGATGAAACACAATAATCTACCCAAAACAGATTCTTAATTTGCTGGTTGGCTATAATTTTTAACCAGGGGAAGTGGCTGGAAAGAGTTAACAAATGTTAATATATAAGAGAAGATTAAAGAAACTATAACTATTTTAGATTATCATACTCACAGGTTTCAACAGCAATGACTTCACCCGCGTATGCTGCATTTCTGAGACCTTTCGATGGAGTAGGTCAAATTTCTTATCCAATCTCTGGATGGCATCATACATGGCCTAGCAATAAATAAAAAAAAATTGAATATTTTAATTTACACAGGAAAAGGAAACAAAATAATATTAGAAAAGCAAGGAAACACCATTAATGTTGAAATTACTACTTTAACCTATGTCTAAAAGTTGCAGAAAATCAGTGAATAAATACACTATACTACAACTTATCTCAAGGTTGTCTGGCCCTCCTGCTGTATCCACTATGGAATCAGTGAATCTGTGTGATGTATTACTATATTTTTTCACATACCACACACACCCCAAATAAAACACACAACTTGTTTTTAGAATGTAGAATCCTGCAGAATGTAGAAAAAATGATTTTTCCAGAATCACAGCAAACTGCATGACACAGAGTAAGTCCTCCTAGAAATACAGCATCCGGAAAGTGTGGTAACCCAGGAGACCCAGTATGGTAAGGCAGAAAGAACTTCTTGGTTTGGCAGCAAACCAACAAGGCCAGACCTCAAACCTTGCAAAGGCAAATACAAGACCTTCACTTCTTTCTGGCAAACAGTTCTGTACTTAAGTTCCTTTAAATAATACAGTGTTGTTTCCACAGAAGCCTCCTCAAGATAGTTACAGACTGCATGCAGCAGCTCACTCACCTTCAGCCAATTCAGTAGCTCTTCAGATAAAAGCTACTGCTTGCCAGCAGCTGTGAAAGGTTTAACACTAGAACCCACTCCATTAGAACCCACTCCTGCTCTTTGCAGCCCAGGGAGAGGTGGCAGCCATGAGTCACAGTGGGCATGTCTACACAACACGGTTTACTGCACAATAGTATAGTTTACTATGCAATAAGTGTGTGCAGCTACACATGTACATTCTTACTGTGCAGTAAAAATTGCTACTGGCAAGTAAATTTGTTACTTACCAATGCAAGTAGCAAATTTACTTGCTAGTACTTACTGCTGAGCAACACTCGTTTAGACACCACTTGGGAGCAGATTTGCTCCTGGTCAGCCCTGCTACTAAGAGGCCAGCCTGAGCTCAGCCCCAGGACCCCAGGGCTGGGCTGCCTTTACGGTAGCACCAGCCTCAGGCATTTGGAGCCCTGAGCCGCGCCAGCAGGGAGCCTAGGGTGGACTCTTGGTCTCTGTTCCCCCTGCAAAGGCCGTGGGCTAGCCGTGACAGCCTGCCTGTACCCCACCACTGCTACCTGTGTACACTGCAGTGCTGTGCAGCTGCCAGGCCCATGCCATCCAGCCTGGCAGGCTGATGCAGGCTCCTGCCAGGCTTGCTAGCCCTTGGGCCCAGCTGCAGCCACTTTCTGGCTGCTGGGGCCAGCACCAGCTGCTCACAGCCCACACCCAGCAACCCCTCTGGAGCCTGCAGGTGCTGCAGAGCATCGCCTTGCCTCGCCATGCAGCTCCTAGTCCTGCACCGTGCCCCTGTGCTGGGCACTGTAGCCAGCTGTTCACGCTCAGCAGCACAGGGACAGCTATACGGAGGCCTGGAGAGCTGGCATGGGAGTGCTGATACCTCATTGCCAATGCCATTTGCCACAACCCGGGGCTCCAACTGGTCACAGGAGACTGGCAACCTCATGGTTTGCAGGGTGGGGCAGAGATACAGCAGCAGTTTGTGCAGGGCAGGTGCTCCAGTGCTCACATCTATGAGAGGCTGTCAGGCCAGATGCGGGACCATGGATACAATGGGTCAGTGCAGCCATGCCGCTTAAAGGTCAAGGCCTCGCAGGCACAGTGAGTCACTATCACTGACCACAATCATCAGTCAGGGAGTGCCCACAAGTCCATGCTCTTTATGCAGCAATTGATTAAGATTCTTGCGCCCTAGGACCCGGGTCACAGCCACAATTGTGTACAGTGGCACGGGCACCCTACCCAAGGCTCCGCTATGGTTTGGCACCAGTAGTGATGTGTTACTGGAGGAGGGCCCTTAGGGGCATCAGCAGAGCATCCTGCTGCATCCTCCACCAGCAGCTCAGGGAGCCCAGGACAGCTCCTGCCCTGACAGCTCTGCAGCCTCAGCCCCAGATACAAGGCATGGCTGGTCATGTCACCGCTGGCTGCCAGCAGCACCAGCTCCACCCTGGGGGTGGGGACCTGGCTGGGCACCAGTACACCACACCCCAGTGCCTGAGGCCATTGCCGGCAGCTGCACAACATCGCCACCAGCCGGGACCGACTGGAGCTTTCAGGTACGCCAGCTCTGCCCACATGGTAAACCCCACATTGGAAGAAGGGCCCTCCCTGCCCTGGCCTGGCTCCTCCTCACTGCCCCTCCTTCTCATCTAAGCTGTCCACACTCTCCTGGCCCCTAGTTTCTTCGCCTACAGCATACAGGGAGGTGGGAGACAGTGCCAAACATTATTGTGCAAGCCATGCCCCCGCAGCTAAGCAGGCACAGGATTCTCACAGGAACATTTCAATACTGGCAGCAATGTCCCCCTTGGTAGTGGAGGGCAGGGACATGTAGCACAGCCAAAGGTAGCCCTCCAGGTGATGGTGGAGGTTGCAGGACAGCCTGAGCTTGCCTCCTGCACCATCAAAGCTCAGTGTCCCATGTCAGGTGTGCCCAGGGCATCATGGCAATCATCATTAACAGGACATTGTGGGTTGGGTACCCCTTGGTCTGCACAGCTGGCAGGATGGAGTTTTGAAAAATGCAGGTGTTATGGGCACTGCCCGTCCAGCCAGCACTCACACTGGTGAAGGAATTGCAGTGGTCGACAATGGCCTGGAGCACAAGAGTGAAAGCCCCTCTGCCTGTAATAGGGGTGGTTGCCGTGGGGTACATAGGTGATGGGGATATGGGTCCCGTCCAGGGCTCTGATACTATAGGGGAAGCCCAGGGCACAGAACCCTGCCACCACCTCGGCGGGGGTTGTGTATGTGGAGCATGGTGTGGCCCAGCATGTCCTGGAGGGCACTGTATATCTGCAGGATGCCATCCCCCCCGTGGCCTTGCCCACACCAAAGAGGTGGCCCATGTAGCGGAGGTTGGTGGGCATAGTCAGCTCCAGCATGTCTATGGCCAGCTGGGTGTCTGTGGGGAGGGGCAGCTGTATGTTGGTGTCCTGCAGCTCCAGGTATGGGCGGAGCTGCTCCAGGAAGTCCCAGAACATGGCCTGTCATGCAGAATGTCTCCAGCTACTGCTCGTCATCCCAGGTGTGCTGGATGATGTACAGTCACCAGTCCTGGCTGGCCTAGCAGGCCCAGAAGTGGCGGGGCTGGAGGCCCAGGGGGTTGGAGGGTTACCACAGTGGTGGAACCTTGGAACATGGTCAGTGGGTTTCTTGTGTGGGGAAGCTGGCAGGACCTGGACCAGTGAGCTTGCTAGAGTGCTAGCAGGCTAGCATTATGGCCAGCAGGAGCCTAGGGCCAAGGGCAGGCACTATAGCAGCCATGGTACAGGGATGCAGAGGCTGTGGCACAAGAGCTGCCACATTATGCTCCCATGCTGTGCAAGCTGCTCCTGGCTAGATAGGCAGCTGGTGAGGCAGCAGGGCTGCCTTTTAAAGATGGCCTCTGGTCGCAGGCAGCTGTGGCTAGAGCTTCCAGCTCCCCCTGGTGGCAGGAGGGGCCCATTGCAGTGCCCCAGTAAGAGGGAGCAGTTTGCCTTTGGGAGCAGAAAATCTGCTCCCATGCCCTGCATGTGTAGATGCCATGTAGATGCCTGCCCAGAAGCATTTACTTGCAAGTAGTTTATTCACAAGTAAAATGGCTCAACATCAAATGCACTTGTAGACAGACCCAGTGTCTGCTTGCTCTACTTCACCCTGCCTCTATTATAGCAAAAGAAAAAAAAATCAGGATCTCCACTTAAGATACTCACCCTAGTTTTGGAGACCTATTTTTTTGGTAAAATCTGTATATCATATGTGAGTAAATATATTATTTGAAATCTTACACTGCATTTAAACAAAAATATACATTTGTTTTCAAACATGTAGCTAAGATGCTGAGAAATCGCTTGTAAAGCATTGATTTTACACTAGTTAAGGAGAAATACACTTGAACGAATATAAGCCCTGAAGTAAAATGACAAGAGCATAAGTGATCTACAGGGTAATCATTTCAGCTCTAAGCCTGAAAATGAATATAGCATTGAAGTCAATTGCACTTTCATTTATTATATTCAAGAGATAAAGCACAAACAGAATTTGAAAACCACTTATTTCACTAAAAATGCCCAAGACATTCTGGCTGATCTTCAGTCTTCTTTCAAGCTCAGCAATTTATCTCTCTCAAGAGATTAAAAACTGGCTTTGCACTACTTCCAGAAACAGATAAGAAGGATTTAAAGACACCATATCACAAAGACCATGAATACTTGCAGACAAAAGCCAGACAAATCAAAATTGAGTTGAAAAGCTGACTGGTCTCAATATTCATTGTTATATTACCGTATTTACTCAATTCCAAGATGAGGTCCTCCCCCCATCCCCATTAGCATAGGGAAAAAAGTCCCTCAACTGATAAATGCATACAAGGAAATCTCATCAAATATGCTATCATTAAATTGCTGCCAAAAACAGCATGTGCTCAGCAATGAAAGGTGTTGGGTTTGGGTTATGGGTGTTCCCTCCATAGGGAACTGGCACTGGACCTGGAACCATAAAATCATAGACAATGAAGCATGGAAAGGTCCTCAGGAAGTCATCTAGTCCAACCCCCTGCTCAAAGCAGGACCATCCCCAACTAGATCATCCCAGCTAAGGCTTTGTCCAGCCAGGTCTTGAAAACCTCCAAGGATGGAGATTCCACCACCTCTCTGGGTAACTTTTACTACCCTCTTGGGGCATTTGTACATGTGAGGGGGCCTTAGTTCCCCTAAACTGAAATGGTGGGTTGTAATTGTGACCCACTATTTAAATTTAGGGACTTCTGTCACTGTTATGGAGCAGTGATAGCCTGCCAGCAGCTCACCCTCTGCCCCTGGCAGACTTTGCTGGAAAAAAAATAAAGTGGTGTGGGGCTCAATCCTCTTTTTTTTTGTCCTCACAGAGCCTGCCCACTTCTCCCATAGCTGGGAGATCAGCTGCTGGCAGATGCTGAGTTGTGGGGGCCCTGGCCTTCCCTCTGCAGCATACACGTGATGGTGGGACCAAGTGCCCCTAGTGAGAAAATTCTTCATAATATCTAACCTAAACTTCCCTTTCTACAACTTGAGACCATTGCTCCTTGTTCTGTCATGTGCCACCACTGAGAACAGTCTAGCTCCATCCTATTTGGAACCTCCCTTCACGTAGTTGAAGGCTGCTATTAAATCCCCTACAGTCTCTTCTTCTCCAGACTAAATAAGCCCATTCCTCTCAGCCTCTCCTTCTAAGTCATGTCCTCCAGCCCACTCACCATTTCTGTTGCCATCCACTGGATTCTCTTCAATTTGTTCAAATGCTTTCTGTAGTGGAAGGCCCAAAACTGAACACAGTACTTCAGATGTGGAGGTACTACAATAACAGGCTGGCACTGGGAGGGCCAGCAGCCCTGAAACCCTCTCCTTGGTGACAAAAGAGCTACATTTGATCTTAGACAAAAAGCCAAGTTGCTACCACAGGAATAAGTTACTGCAGTCCAGCTGAAAAAAACAGATGGTTGTGTCCACTAAGTGCAGTCTCCCTCACTGCTGACTCTTTTTGAGTCACGGTGAGCCAGTACATTGCATATCCAGAATTCCTCAGTTGGCCCCTCTCTCAGCCCAGTACATATGATTAGTGTGACACTGCCCTCCACAAGGTGAAGCAAGACCAGATTGCCTTGCACCTCATCTTCACATAAGTTGTTGGAGGCTCCTAGGACTTGTGACAAGAACACCCATTTCCTAATCAGCATATGGATCCTTTTGGTGTGTCCAGACGAGCTTGAACGTTTATTTCCCCAAGGGCAAGCAGCAGTGGCACACCTTGAGCCATTACTATTTGACCCCAGGAAACACCCGAGCCACATGTACTCAGTGCGTGGTGGGCTCCCCCATGTGGGAGCACTGGGCTGGCCCCAGCCACCTTACCTGGGGTTCTGGGAGCCTCCTGGAGCAGCAGCAGTGGCAGGGAGCCTGGCTGACAGCTGGAGTATGACTCCACCTGGCCAGGCTCTGGTTTTAGGCAGCATGTGCTGCCACCACTTGGCACTAGCCTGCTTTTTTTTTTTTTTTGACATGGGTTTTTTTGACCCCAGGATCTCCCAGGGTCAAAAAACTCCCCCATGATGCAACGTAGCAGTGCAGGGAATGCCTGCATGTGTCTGTGGCAGATGGGTCTGCGACACCACATACCACATGTCCACACTCAACATTGTCTTTCTGAGGGGGTATCAGGAGTATATACATATGCTGAGCAGTGCTAAACTGTGGGGTTCCTGTGGAGGGCAGGGCCATACTAATCATATGCTCCATGCTGAGAGAGGGGCTGACAGAGGGATTCTGGGTATGCAATGCAAATGCTGTTGACTCTGGTGGGGCCCTGCCCAGTGAACTATGTAGTAAATGATGAGTATTTTGGCTTTCAACTAATACAATGCAGGGAAAATGCTATGATTCCAAATTTACTTTCCTTGCTGTAGCAGCAGGGAGAAAACAAACTCAAAGTAAGCCTTCAATAATTAGTTTCTGTAACTCAAAAATTGATGTAACTGTGGGAATTGCTACTAGATCAAATTGTGCCTTATTCCCAGTGCAGGGGGAGCCTGTTCCTGGGCTTCCCTGCATTGGGAGAGAGCAGGCCCCCATGGTTGGAGCCTCCTTTGCTGATAAAGCAAAGGGGGCTCCCAGCTGTAGGGGCCATGCAGAGCTAGGACACAAAGCCCTGTCAGCTGAGGGATTCTCTGTCCCAGCTATGCATGAGACTCAGACAGGACCAAGAGCCCAGTGTGGGCCTGGGGGTCTCATGCCTTGGAAGTCACAGCAGCCATGATTCCCATGGCCTTGGGAGTCACATGCACCCATGTGGCTGGGAGCCCTGTCAGCTGATAGGCTCCCTGCTGCAGAGAAGACCCTGCTACACAAGCAAATTAAAGCTCGATAGCAAATTTGCTCAATAGCTATGAAGTCAGGACACATTTTCGAGGTCTAATTTTATAGCTGGTTGGAACTTTTTATCATGTGATAGCTTTTTTGTATGTGTAGCAGGTCTCCGGGTAATTGTGCAATTAACCAGTTAATTGTGCGATACTTGTAATGTAGAGGTGGCCTTTGGTAATATGTATCTTAGACAAAACAAGACAGAAAAGAACTTTGAAATACCTGAGTATAATAAGGTGCTTTAAAACCTTAATTTGGTGTTAAAAGAATTGTATGATGAGATCTGAAGCTCTGGACATATGATTAGGCATAAAAGACCTTAACTAATACTAAATCAACAGTCACTAAAAAAGGAGAGGTTTCTACTTTCAAGTTTAGTTTCACTAATGCTCACCTATGTGAGGAAGGGATATATTTAAATTTTGGTGGTACATTTACTCAGCTTACATATTACTGATACAGAAAATAAACAACCGATTCTCCAGTACAACATAAATAACAGAATTATGAGTTAGATAATATTGTAAGAGTGACTATCAGATACTTTCAAAAGCTATGCATACACATGGTAGCCAAATATTGCCCATTACCTTGTGGTCTTTCGTAGTATATCAATCAGCTATGCATTATATGTGCCTTAGTATTGAATTTTTAAAGGGCACGTTCAAGTTATTTGAGCAAAAATAAATCAAAGTATCGTGGCTAAGTGAACTGAAGTGCAAAACTGAATGTTGTGAAGTTACAAATCAATGCTACCATGGCATGTATCAGGGAGAGCTTTGTAATCATAATTTCAACTAATGTTTCAGAGAAGTTTATAAATTAATTCAAGGAAGAAAACATGATACCTGACAACAGTTGAGGACATCCATAAGGGTTTTCTGCTGATCTCTTGCGTAAGAAGCTTCAGACATAATGCTTCCCTGTTTCATATATAATAAACAAACAAAAAAAAGCAAACTAAATTCAAACTTGAAATCATGATTTTTTGTAACAATCAACATACAACATACAAAGAGAAAACACCACCCTTAGGACCTTTCCCTATAAAGCAGCAATTTTTAAGTCTGTCAAACAGCCTATAAAAAATGACTTACACATTCATAATCTGGTTCATATTCATAAATGACACTTCCACCATCTTCATATTCTGCTTCCCTGGCTCTCATCTGGGGAAAAATATTAAGAAACATTAAAATAAAAAGCAATAACAAATGGCAGGGCACAAAGCAGTCCAGCTAAACTGTACATCTTTCAGGAATCCAAAGTACTGACCCAACACATCAGCGATGCAAGTCACTGCAGATTCTGCTAAATGCATCTGTTCTTTTATCAATCAACAATTTAAACATGTACACTGGCACATCAGTTTTCCTTTCTAGGGATTGTGAATATTAAAAAAAAAGACATATATATCTTTTTATATTTTATTAACAACATTACATTAAAATTAAGAAGTTAAACAAAATCCACATCACCTTTCATATATTAAAATAAGATATTTATTTACTTTTTTCATTCATTTCACCTACAAACAGATGGACTAGTCCATTTCAATTTGCTGGCAGACAGTTCCTATTCAATATCACTTTCAGGTTCTCATATAGTAACACAATACTAACAAGGCACTATTACAGGAATATTTTCAATTAAAATATTTTAAAACACATTTAATTTAAATCTTTCTAGTGTCCATGGTAACCCCCCCCCAAAAACTAAAAATCTTTTCCTACTAGTGCCTTAAATAACCATAAGTAAATTGGTTAAATTTAAATCAGTTTTTAATCATATTAGGGTGTGAACAAACATACATTTTAGCCTTTAAAAGGCCAAAGGGAGATAGTGGCTGGAAGACCACAGCACCTGTTACAATTCAGCATCTGCATGTTAGGTTGGTACTGGATTTAACAAGGGGTATAGACATGCAATGTTAGCTAAATCACTCCAACTTTAACTCTGATTCTTTCAGAAGCAAAGGTGAAATGGTTCTGTCACACTTCTATTGCTACACAATCATGCAGCTGTATGAGTTATGCCACAACAGCTCTACTGATATCCTTTGATACTGATGAAAGTATGTCTATACCCCTTGTTAAATCCAGTACAAACCTATTATAAACATATGTTCTGGTCTAAGAGAATCGTATTTTGGTTTAGTTTAAAATCCTACCAATACATCTGAATGATAAATATAATCAAAGTAGCTGTTTGGTAGTACCTAGAGGCCAGAGCTCCAATGTACTAAGCACTGTACAAATATATAAAACAAGGCTCCTATCAATTTAAGAGTCTATCACACAAAACAACTATTTAAATTTTTGTACCAGTTAAATAAATAGATTTATAAATCATACGACTGTTTCAAGCAAGTGCCACTCTGCATACGGATGAGCTCTTTTAGACATGGGTAAATTCCACATGGTATTCATGTCCTTGTGATCCTGGAATATAGAAGGTTTCTATGCAGTTGAGGTACCTAGCTAGTTACTAACCCAGACACGGGTGTGGTGGGACAGCTCCAACAGTTGCTTTTTCTGTAGAAATTCAGGGCTCCATGAAATGTTGTTATTTTTCTTTGGAAAAACAACGTTATCTACTGTAGTTAGGAGAAGTTACCAGGTCGTACAGTTTTAAACTGCGCGAAAAGTGAAAGCCAAAATATTCTTAGTATTTTTAAATAAAAGCTGTTTAAACAGATGAAAAACAAAGAGCTAAGGTCTGATTTCTGTTGTGGAAAGCCCATTTCAAGTAAAGCCGTAGATACAGGATTACATGTAGAACTGTGGAAGTAATCACAAAGTAAAAGTAATATTGTATTCTTGTCCTTTGAAAACTGCCTGTAGATAAAAATCAACAGTGCCACCATCTGGACAAAATTCTTTAAAAGGAAAGCCACTAATCTCTCAGTGAAGAATGCTAAAAATGCACAAAGTAAGCAGCTTTCTTGCCCAGCAATAAACTATGAATTTTGTGTTTAGTGTTTTTCATATCAGTCAAATTTATCTTGCTACTCAGATAAAAAAAATATGTGCTTTGCAAGACTGGCAAAATTCAAAAGTAGCTCAGCACCCTGTTTTGATACTGGAAGATTACCTCAATTGTTAATATTTTAAAGCATATATAACAATTATATACAGTAGGCTTTATCTAGACAATGAAGCTGCTGTAAAATAAACAAGGGAGTGAAGTTTAAATACAACAGTTCACACTAATAACTATGCGATTGTTTTTAGGGCTTATGTATCTGAAGAGACAGGGAAATCAATTGGAAATGAGTAAATATGAGCATTTAAACCAGATTATATATATTCTATTTAACTCTGCTAATTTCAGTTAACTTTCCTGAGTGTTCCCAGATAGGTAGCCCTTATTTCATGTTAAAGTCAAAGGGGACCAACCCAAACTGCACAGAGGCACTTAGTACAGTGTAAGTGCAGAAAAACGAATTCTAGAACTGTTATTTTGAGTTACTTCCCTAAACAGACAAGCTATTGGTATGTGAACATATAGTGCCCAGCTCAACAGGACTCCATCATCGTTAGGTACAGCTAGAGCTGTACAATTTACCTAAAAGAGAAATAAGTGTTTGCTGGTACACACTTACTGTGCTGTTTCCCAAGGGAGAGGGGACAAGTCGTCGTCTTTTATTATGCACGTAAACAAAGTCTACTTGTTCTGGGTTGTGACCATCTCTCTCCACACTTGCAGAATGGCTCATTTGTGACACCACTGGTTCACTCAGTACTGACAAACCTTCACCACCTGAAAAATTGGGTATAAGAAAATATGTTAACAAGCTCCTTTCACTGAATTAGACCTTTACAAGGAAAACATACACCGTTATTTATGTTTAAACATCACAGCCATGTAAGATTTTTTGTTCATAGATTACCTGACACCAATTATTTACCCTCTACTATTTGTACTGAATTAAATTTAATTTAAAACTTTCTTCCTTCTAAACCTTCCACAAAACCCAGCTCATTTACCTGTTGCATTTCACTCTGACATTATTTCAAACTTTTAAAGGAAAAAATTGGAAATCAGAATTTAAGTTTTTTCACCATGTGCTATAAGCTCACATTATCTTTTTTTACTTTATTTTCATTTTTCCCTTTCCTAATTGTGTGTTAGTTTTTGGGAGGGGTGTGTGTGCATGTGTGTTTGTTTCTACTGGGCTGTGCAAAGACAGACATGGCCCTAAGACTTGTTACACTGTAAAGTTCAGCCAGTAGAAATAGGTTGGTTAGGGGCATCAAAAGACTATCTTTGGCTGACCAAATTCTACTGCCAGAAACCTCAGTGCGGAAGCATTTCTGCTGGTAGAATGCAGCTTCTGTCAGAAGGGTGTTGTCACTCAGAGGAGCTGGCATAGCTGATGGCTGAAAAACCACTTCTAGAAGATCTACATTTACATCAGAAGGCCTGGCTCCAGTAGCACAGCCACATTACAGTGTGACAGCACTCCTATAATGTAAACTAAGACATGGTCCTTGCCTCCAGGACTCAACATTTCAAATGCAAGTCCTGTTTGTAGATTAATGTTTTTGTTGTTATGTTTTTAACTGCATACATCAGTACTATATTGGCAAACTTCCAATTTGAACAGAAATTTGCTAGATACATAAAAAAGTGACAATAAAACTTTCTTTAGGTACATTAGAAGCCAAAGATCTATCAGGGAGTCAATTGGGCCCCTGGATGATCATGGTATCCAAGGTGTGCTAAAGGATAACAGGGCCATTGCTGAGCAACTAAATGCATTCTTTACATCTGTCTTCATGGTGGAAGTCATTAGGCAAATTCCCTCACCAGATCTCTTCCTCAGTAGAGACAAGTCAGTGGAGCTGACCCAAACTGAGATTTCAACAGATGAGGTTGTGAAAGAAATTGATAAACTAAACAATAGGAAATCACCAGGACTTGATCGCTTTCCGCCTAAGGTGCTGAAGGAGCTCAGATCAGAAATTGTCAAATTCCTAACTGTAGTAGGCAACCTACCACTAACAGCTTTGGTTCCAGAGGACCAATGTGACTCCATATTTATAAAAGGCTCTACAGGGAACCAAGGAAACTGCAGACCAGTGAGTCTATCTTTTGTGCCTGGAAAACTGGTAGAAACAATAATAATAAAAAAGAATTGTTCAGCACCTCTGGGGAAGACCAGGACCAATGGATAAAACCACCTGGAAGGCCACTTCAGGCTCAATACCAGGAAAAACTCCTTCACAGTCAGGGTGTCCAGACTGTGGAATAAACTCCCTCCAGAGGTGGTGCAGTCACCTACCCTGGAGGTTTTCAAGAGGAAACTGGACAGTCACCTCACTGAGGTCACCTAACCCCAGTTGTCTTCCTGCCTAGAGCGAGGGGATGGACCCAATGATTTGCAAGGTCCCTTCCAGCCCCTAACAATCTATGAATCTATGAAACATATGGATGAACATGATGTACTGAGGAGGAATTAACATGGTTTTGTCAAGGGGAAATCATGCCTCAGAAACCTACTAGAGTTCTTTGACTGTGCCCATAAGCAAGTGGATCGTAGTATATCTAGATTTCCAAAAAAACCTTTGACAAGTTCCTTGTATCAGAGGCTCTGAATAAAGTTAGACATGAGATAAAAGGTAAGGTCCTTTTGTAGATTAGAAATTTGCCTAAAGGTAGAAAACAATGAGTATAAATGGTCAGTTTTCTGGATGGAAAGAAGTGAATGGTAGGGTCCCTCCAGAGATCTCTATTAGGATCAGTGCTGTTTAACATATTCATAAATCATCTTGAAAAGGGGGTGAGTAGTATGGTAGTCAAATTTGCAGATGACACCAAATTATTTAAGTGGTAAAGACCAACACAGACTGTGAGGAACTATGGAAAGAAATAGCACTATTGAGCAAATGGGCAACTAAATGGCAGATGAAATTCATAGTTTCATAGTTGTTAGGGGCTGGAAAGGATCTTACAAATCGCTGGGCCCTGCACTTAGGCAGGAAAGACTGCTGGGATCAGATGACCCCAGCAAAATGGGCATCAAGATGTTTTTTGAAGATCGCCAGGGTGGATGACTGTACAACCACTGGGAGGAGTCTGTTCCAAACCCTCAGCACTCAGCTTGTAAAGAAGTTTTTCCTTATGTCTAGCCTGAAGTGATCTTCAATCAGTTTATGCCCATTATTTCTTATCCTCCCCTGGGGAGCTTTGGTGAATAGCTGCTCCCCCAAGCCCTGGTGTATGTCCCTGATATACTTACAGGCTGCCACCAAGTTGTGACAGGGCAGTGCTGATCCCTGCTGCGCAACCTGGCTCCACAGGGAACAGAGAGCCACACCGGAGTCTCCTCCCTGCTGCTGCCTGCCCCATGCAGCCCAACATTGCCGGGGCAGCATGAGGTGGGCAAGAGTGGCAAGAGGACCACCGGCACAGATCTCTGATCCTTGTGAAGCAGAGTTGCGTGGCAGGGACCAGCAGGCTTGCTCGCTGCTCTGTGCTGCTTCCCTGCCTCGCAACCTGGCATAACAGGAATCAGAGATCCATGCGGGGGTCTTCTCACCTGCATGGAGGGCAGCAGCCCTGCCCCAGATGAGTTAGCCCCATCCCCAACCTGCTCCCCACTGAGGCCCTGCAACCCCCAGCCCCAAGGCCCACCTGGCTAGCTAGGGCTGTACAAAGCTTCCCTTGCAGCCCATTCAAAATAGATTTGGAGGAAATTAACAAATCTCCTAAACAGATTCAGCCGAAATGAAACAGGACAGTGATCCGAAACACCAAAACGGATCGCTGTCCTCTGAAATGGCCGAATCCAAAACTGAATCAAAACACAGCCATTTCACACAGCCCTAATTAACAGTGGTATAGAGGGGCTTGCATATGAGGAGAAACGTAAAAGGCTAGGCCTATTCAGTATATAAAACAGACATTTGAGGGAGGACATAATAAAAAGGGTTTACAGAATACTAAATGGCAAAGAGAAAGTAAATAGGGATGTATTTTTTACTGTTTCTCACAATACAAGAACTAGGGGTCATAAAATAAAACTAGTAGGTTGTAAGTTTAAAGCTAACAAAAATAAGTGCATTTTCACACAGCGTGCAATTGAAGTGTGGAACTCATTGCCACAAGATGTTGTGGAAGCTGACAACAGAGCTAGATTCAGAAAAAGGGACTGGACAAATTCTTGGAGGAAAAGTGCATTAGTAGCTATTGAGCATAGAAGTTAAGGGTACAGCATCTAAACCAGATCTTCCTAGGTCCTAAATGCTGGAGGCTGCAAGTGGGAGAGGAACAGTGGAAAAAACCCTGGTCATACCCTGTTCATTCTCTCTTGCAGCATCCACTCTCTGCCACTGCATGACATAGGATACTGGCCAAGATGGATTTAAAATCTGACCCAGTAAAGGGTAGTTCTTGTGAGACTGGATGCTATATTTTATTCTACAGAAACTCTCCAACTAAGCTGCATTTTTTCTTAGAAGGAAAACTCTCTTGGTTATTCTACTGTAAACTTGGGTCCTTCCCACTAGTCTACATATTGTTTCATATCTTGTACTTAGACTGGAATATCTTTGGGACAGATTTTCTTCATGTTGTGTTTGTATAGTGCCTAGGCCCTGACCTTACTGGGATCCTTAGGTGCTATTGCTTTAATAATAATAATGATACTTGCAGCAAGACTGGGGGGTGAGGTGTCAAAGTCGCTTTTGCCCATTTCCACAAACCTTGGGAAACTACTCCGTATTATCCAGAAACATATTTAAACTTACATGGATGGACTTTAACAGAAGCATTAAAAACAAATGAACAAACAAAAAAAACCCCCAGACTTTTCTCTCTCATACACAGAGGCTACAGCATTTGCCAAACCTATTGAATCTCAACTCACACGCAGTGAGAAAGTACATCACCTCTTTATTCTGCCACTACTTTCACTATTACAACTTAAGATCTAAGTCCTAAATCAGTTCTATTATGATGGGCATGCACTTGCATCTTTAACTACACTGTCAAAAATGTTAACACAATAGCATGACAATTACATATAAGCGCTATACTAAGACTGCAAAGCCAAGGGCTCAAAAAAACATACGCTAGGGCTAAGACTGCCCAGGGAAAGCATTTTTCTGGAAACTTCAGAGCAAGATCTACTGAACACATACAAATGGCAATTCCATTTACAACTCCATTAAATCTTAAAATGGTTTTCATGGAAATAATGAAAGGTACATCTGTGCTTCCCAGACTTTTTCCCTGCCAAATTTCAAGTTACTGCCTCAAACCATAAAAGTACAGGAGGTTTTTCAAGAAGAAACTTTAAAAGAAACAGGTGAAGGGAAAATAACATTAGCAGAACTACTTATGTCTCTCAAATGTAAGTATTATTAAATACCGGCATTACTGTAGAGCCTGTGAGTTGTAGTCATAGAGCTGGTTCCCATTATGTTAGGCATTGTAGAAACAGAACAAAAAAAATGGTCCAGGCTCCAAAACAATTTAAGTGTAAAACAAGTGATCAGAGATGGAGGCAAACTGATGTTGGGGGAAGTACAGAGAAATAAATTGTCTTCCTGAGCAAGACAGGCAACGATATCAGTAGAGCAGGTGAACAATTGTGAAGTTTTCTGCGCACATCAAGGCAGAGGAGAATTTTAAGGAGCTTTGTGAATGTTTATGGGGAGCTCCTCCACATGACAGCATGACAGAAAACACAGAAGTTGCTTGTTTGAAAAATCTAACAAATGGACAAGGGAGGATGACATCATAGTTCAGCTGAAGGAGAGTCTTAACACCACAGTAATAATTGAGAGATGACACACAGGGTGGAGACAGATGATGAAGGACACCAAAAGTAAAAATGTGTAACTGATATTCAAGATACTGAGATGGGGAGGAGTAGAGATCAAAACATGCTTCCCCCAGCACATGTTCATTTAAAGGTGCCATGGGATCTGAGCCTCAGTCCCAACAAATTTGCCTTCTACTATGCCACACATGCATGGCAGAAGGTGCAGTTTTGGAATCAGGGCTCAAATCTAAATTCCCTTTCCACTTGTCAGTGCAGGAGGATCCAGCATCATGATCCCAGGCTCATCTTGCACTTGCAAGTTGAAAGCTAACATGAAATCCCAGTGCATTCCTGGGGCTGAGACCAAAAATCAGCTGATTGTCAGCCTTGGCCCTGGGACAGTCCTAGGCATGCCACGTTCAGTTTAAGGCACCGTGCAAACCAGCCATTAAAATGGTCTACACACGGAACATTTTTATGGCTGGTTTGCCATTCATTGTACCTCAAATTGGGTGCACTTGTAGCACCCTTGCCATTTATGCCACAATTAACAAGTTAACAGCATGTAATATGTGCAGGAGCCCAAAGAAAGAAAACGTGGTCAAAGTGCTGTGCAAGGAAAATTATCTAATGGTGCTCTGAACAGACGTAGGGGGCCAAATTTTATTTGCCAAGAGAAGAGAAGAGAGTTGCAGTAATTGAGATGTGAGATGATGACAGCTGGACATACATTTCAGCAGTGCGGACAGAGAGGAATGTTGCTTTAGAAATGCTATGCTGAAAAACTCTCTGAGACATGAAGACCTAAAAAGAGGTTCAAATCGAAAAGGATGCCTAAGATACAGGCACAAATGACAGCTAAAATGGTGATGCTGTACCCAGTGATGTTGAGGACGCTTTTGGGGGGAGGGAAATGAATCAATCTGTTTTACTCCTGTTGTACTTAATCTGATAGCTAGACATCCAGAGGAAGAGGCTAAGATTTTATTTTGGACAGAGACAGGTCTGGAGTGGCCAGCTATTCTTGAGTCATCCGCGTAAGCACAGTGGTTGCATTTGCATGTGCAGATGAATTTTCTTATCTAAGTGTAGGCCTCACTGGAGCATTGATTAACATATGCTGCTTACACAAAGGTTTGCCAAAACATTGATCAGAGTAGGCCTTACCAGGAATTCTGACCAATGCATGAACTTTTCACATAAACAAAACTTGGCATGTGAGCTGGATGTGCATTTTTACCAAGAGATAGGAGGGAGAGATTATGGTACAATGTAGGATAGTGCAGTACCAGGATGATAAGCCTGGAACAGGAACACCCAGATTGGAATGTGAAACAAGCCCACGGTACAAGGATGGTTTGAAACATTCAAGATACAAATGGAATGACACATGTACTTTGGTATGATCATTGTATAACAGGAGAATTGGGGGGCAGGGGAATTTTGCAGTGGCCTGGGGAAGTGGGTGTAGCGTTGTACCAACTACCATGTCACAGGCACAAATAGCTTAATTCCTGGTCTGATGTATTTGTTAGGCCAAAACATGTTAGGGCTCAGCCCATAGACAATAACTCTGGCCAGAAGACGAAGCCTGCGGTCATTCTTTAAGACAAGATTGGTTTGAGAATCTTTTGGCTCCAACTTGTTAACACCGCAGTTCTTGAAACTTCAACACTGGGAACACATCAATAACATCCAACAAGAACAGCAGCAACATCACTGATAATCCCAAATGACAAGTAGTAGTAGTTCATAGATTGAGCCCCATAGAAAATCCATCTTGAAAATGGCTCAGCCACATATGCTGAAAATGTATGTATAATACATCAGCTTATGCCAGAGAATAAGCATGAATATTTTCAGTCCAAATGGTTACCTTCTATATAGTTATGATGAGCAAAAAAAAATTCTTACAGGAGGAAATGCTAATCAATGGTAATAGCTGCCAAATCTTACCTTAACAAAACTCTTTAAAAGAGAAAAAAAATCTTACTACACTGTCATTTAAAAATAAGAAGGTTATTTGTGCACCACTTTGTTGGGCTCACAAAATGTTCACTATATTTCTTCAGTTGGTTCTGAAATAATAGTTAAATTATCTTCAGAAACTTGGGCTGCCATGTCTGTAATACAGGTTTACAAACATACGTTCCAGTATGTTCGTTCTGCTTTATTTAAAAAAAAACAAACAAACATGCACACAACACACACATAACTAGGGTGAAGTTGTCACAAACCCTACCATATTTTGCTGTGTTTGTGGGATGTCATGCAGGTTTTCTTGTGTTTGTTTTACTGATGTGGCATGCATGGTTTCATTGAAAAGCTAATATTATGCTGTGTCCATTTTTGATGTGTTTAATACTATATGGATTATATTATACTGTCTAGATATATCTTTATGATTTTAGATGCGACTTAATCAAAGCAACAGAGGGATGCATACTTAAGGAAAAGGTAGTAGGTAAAACAGCTAAACATCTCTTGCCATTGTGTTACTAGGACAAGAACAACTGCCATTCTCAAACAGAGGCAGAAGGGGCTATTGTTGGGAGGACCATCCAAGGTACTGTCTGCTTGTAACAGAAGAATCAACCCCTCAGCAGCAAAGGCATCTCAGAGAAATGGGCGATTATCTAGAAAACTCCAAGATGTATGAGCACTGTTCGGATACACTGCTGATTCTGGGGGCTGGCTTGAACATATTTAAGAGTTATCTAGTAGATAGTCCAGGGATTTTGGATTATCTCAGTCCAGATCCCCAGTAGTCAGGCTGGCAGGATCAGCAGCAGGGCTGATTTCTGCAAATAGTAATGACTCTGGGAGGGGGCAAAGTTGTAGCCAGATTAGAGTGGTCTACCACTTTAAGTGACAACAGGTGATAATTTAGTAAGCAGCACAGTAGCATCAACAGCATCTCATGCAGCCAAACAGTCGCAATCAGTATGAGAGCAGTCCTTTCCCTTTCTTCCCCTCCCTCTCTTTACTTTCTGTTTCCCTAAAGGCAAACCCAGCTTCAGCTTCAAAACATTTAGAAACTTTTGAAATGTTTCAACTGCCCTCATTTTATTTCGAGGCTGTTTCAAAGCCCTTCGCTTTGTTTTGATTTTGCTGTTTTGAGCTCGAAATGCGTCAAAACAGCATCGAAACGAAACAGCCGATGAAATTTTGCACAGCCCTACTGTGGGGTCCAATATAAGGGCAGTGAAGCTGAAGCTTGTGGAGATAAGGAATTGTCCCAGGGTAAACCTTGGCCTGTTCCTTGGGACAAACAGCAGAACAACAGGGAGAAACTTGGGGCTCTGTGGGCACCCCATGGACAGGACAACTCAGTTCTTCCCTGGTCCAGAGTTTACAATAGGCAAAACTACATATACCTGACAATACCAGCTTAAAGGAATCGTATACTAAACGATATATACGAAAGGTATATACTAACATTTTCATTATCCCCTCATTGTTCCCAATAAATTATCCCAACCATTTTAGTTAAGGCTCTCTCTACTTGGTAGCCAATTTTTTTTCTGGGATCATTTATGCCAAATCAGTCAAACTATTAATTACCACCATGTAGAGATCTTAAAAAAAATAGGACACAGGGCTCAGAAAAAGGAATGGGGCATATAAGAGGGGAAAAGATACAGTAATCATTAACCACGTGCTGTTAGAAGACTGTGGACATTAACTTTCAGGGCAGAAGGAATTAATTTTAATTACCATATGCAAGCTGAGTCATGTAGCGATCATCACTGTTAACTTGAGAATTTTGTTCCACAGACAAGCAGTTTTGTGTGGACAGTTCATTTTCTGCATCTTCCATTTCAGAATTTTCAATTATCACAGCTTCAACATCATCCTCAACGCTCACAGAAACATAATCTAAAAGCACGTACAGGAAGAGAAAGAAATAAAACAGGATAAAATTCTGCATACCAGTCCCAGGGAAGTAGCATATTTTCAGCACCTGGCATGGTAAGAATAAGGTGACAATTTAATACAATATAAACTGAACGATATAAGTGGTTAAGTATGAAATCGGTTTCCAAAAAATGCTTTACATTTTTAAGTGATAAAGGAGGAAGCTGACCACAGAATTTTGAGTGCTATTTTCAAAACTGCTTAGCTCAACACTTTCAGTTCTATTATGGTGAGCATGCACTAGCATCTTTAACTACACTGTCAAAAATGTTAACACAATAGCATGACAATTACATACAAGTGTTATTCTAAGACTGCAAAGCCAGACTTGAGTAGGAACTGTTCAGCCAACACAGAACACTGGAAAATCCCACCACCCTTTCTGTTTTAATATCTAATGGCACTGAAAAAATCAAGACATGCTTCAGGCTGGGAATCACTGGTCTATAGTGACCACGGGAGCAAGCATTTATTGCAAAAACCAGTGTATAACAGCCCAGTAACACTGGTGATTGACATCTGCAGACCACCCTACATAAATACTGGCATAGCAATAATCCATAAGGCCTTGATGAACCATGGAGATATAGACCTTTCTGACGATGAAGTCTGGGACCTCGTGTGTGTGCCTGCAGGACGTGGGTCTGGGATGGTGGGGTTAATATGACTCCAATACATTTTGGGAACCCCAAATAAGCAAACATTACTGACTGCCTGTGTAAGTATTGCTGACTCTTCCCATGTGGAAGGGAAGAGGAGAAACAACTGTTCTTGGTAACAGTGTACACCCCCACAGTAAGTGCCTCAGTTGTAGCTCCACCAGTAATCACAGCTTGCAAACGTGCTCCACCTCCCTGATATAGCTTTGAAAATGGAACTGGTTGGCTCACAACAGCTGAAGTTATAAAATCAGATGAATCAAGCGAATTGCTTAGTTTCCCCCTCAGTCCCAGAATTCCACTGCCCAGCAGCAGAGCGATGTGTCATGGGACAGCTAACCAGAAGGCCAAACACCAATTTCAAAACTTGTGCGCTGGGTGGTCACTAAGATAAGCAGCAAAGTGCCTTATCTCAGGATTATAATGCAGCATGTAGGTAAGTTATTGCAGCAGATTTTATGTATCTATATTAGATGATCCACAAGTTTAAAGTACAAATATACCCTAAGACAGCAGCATGGGTGCTTTCTAGAGTTTAGATTATGGAATTTTGATATGCAACAGAAAACATCAGCTTGTTTTAAAACTTATATAATTACAAGAAGAAAAATGCTGATATCCTGTTTTGGTTGATGCCAATAAAATAATTGTTCCATTGCACAGAGGTGCATAAAAGAGGGAAGACGTTCACATTTCTTTTAGGGAATATTCTATTATCTATTCACATTTTGTATTAGAAGTGGTTTTAAAAACGAATGATATAGATAAGTCACAATTAACAAGATTTACTTAAAAGAAATTGAGGAAGCTTGCTCAATTAAAAATAGTACTTCGTCTCTCTGAAATTCCATCAGAAATTTGGACCTTTGCTGGCAAACTAAAATGCAGCACTCCCTAAGTTAACAAAACTATTCAATTAGGAAGACACTTAGCAATAGCAAGTATTCCCAAATAAATGTAAATATATTTTGAAAATTCAGCATAGACTGTCACCATAATGTCACCATTTCTCCCAAGCGTTCATTTAGTTAATCACAGCAGTTTTACTTCACAGAGAAGAATTAATAATGGGGCGCAGTCCTTTCCTATTTTAGAGTGAATTACTATTTCTGCTGTTTTTGCAATTCTCTAAATAAAACTCAAGTGTCTTTAACCCTCCTGGCATGTTATTTGCATCATGAACTCCTACCAATAATGAGCAATACTGACTGAAGTAAAGATCTAATTATAAGACTGGGGGCCCATGGAGTGCCTGGGCAATAGGAGAGACCTTGTATTTGGGTGACATGCCATTAGCAGTTGTATGTAGGGTGACCACCTGTCCCTAATTGGATGGGACAGTCCCGGAATGGGAACATCAAGTCCCGGTCCTGGGCTGCATGACTCCAGGACAGCATTTGGCCCAGATTCACCATGTTGTGCAGTGATCCGGGTTTTCCATTCCCAGAAAAAAAAGAGGAAATGGTGGGTTTCCCCTCGCAGGCTGGGAGAGTTCCAGCCTGGGGGCTGCTTGGGGCTGGGGGGAGTGGGATGTAGGAGGCGCCATGTCCATGTTTGTGCATGCCCACTTGCACGTTGCCAGGGATACAGGCAGTGTGGAGAGCAGCTTCCTGCAGAAAAGTCTGTGGGGGGAGGGATGGACTGAGGCCCTCCATGGTGAGGGAGAGAGTGAGGCAGGGTTGGCAGATAGGGCTGGACATGCTGCCCAGTCAAGGCATGCATGAGGCCTGGAGCCTTGGGTGGGAGTGATCAGCAGCCTGGCCTGGCCAGGGAGTGGAACAGAGCCACATGTGGCTTGTCTGTGGGTGATGGGGGGCTGGCTTCCTGCCACTGCATGCACTCCCGTGGAGAGGGGCATGGGGGAGCATATGCCCCCCCAAACTTGTGCACCGGGCAGGGGCGGATGTGGGCTGCCCACTGTGGGCATGGGGCTCTGAACCCTGCTGCCATCTCTCTCAGTGCTGCTGCTGTCGGGAGCCCTGCACTAGCTCCGCTGCCACGGCAATGCACCCGCTGGCCCCTCAGCAGCAGCAGGGGTAGAGGAAACTTGTCCCCTCCACTGCTGCTGGGTGGGAAGGGAGCATCTTGCTGTGGCACTGTGGGGCTCCTGTGGGGAAGGCAGCACAGTGGGGAGCCCCAAGCCCACAGTGAGCAGCCTGCATCCTCCCTCACCCCCCCACCAGTTGGGCTTAGCTCTGCTCTGGCTGTGCTGGTGGGGGTAGGAGGGGGTGGCAAATGGGCTTGTGACCTGCCTTTCCATTTTTAAAAGGGGGTCACCCTAGTCATGTGGCAGAAAAAGAAGTGGCAGTAAAAATCATTTTCTACCTCATATTAGGAAAAAAGTTCTGAGATCAGCACTACTGGTGTGTAAAAAGTAATCCACGGATCTGAACTTCATGAAGAGTAGTACTATCAACTACTACTGAATGGTTAAAAAAAACCCAAAATATACCCTATTTTTCTACATGATGCAAATAAGACAAGACATGTCCCTTGTTTTTTGAAATCAAAATGTAAAAAAAGAAAAAAGAAAAGAAGATTTTTCCAGTCATACCCAAGTGAGCTGACTGCATGCAGCATTGCATTCACCCTCAGCCAGCTCAGTGGCTCTACAGCAGGGGTGGGCAAAATACAGCCCGTGGGATGGATGCAGTCTGTGAGGCCATTCTATCCGGCCCACAGGACCCCTAAAAAAATTTAGAAAATTAATATTTATCTGTCTTTGGTTCCTATCAAAAACGACAGGAACCAAGGGCAGTAGGACCCAGGGGAAGCCCGGCAAGCTCCTGCAACAGCAGGGCCTGCCTGGCCACGCCCCCCTAGCCGGAGGCCCCAGCAGGGGCTTCTGGCCTGGGACCATGTGGCTGCACCAGCACCGGAAACTCAGGTAAGGGGGGGCACTCCAGGCAGGGAAGGAGCCCAGGTAAAAGTGGCCCCTCCCCCGCCCTGTGGTCGGTGGTCCCTGCTGCAGCTGCTTGCAGCCCATGCAGGGCTGTCCTGAGCAAGCACACGCAGCCCCATGTGGGCTGTGACCAGCTGCAGCAGGGGGTGCCAGCCACGGGGCAGGTGAGGGGCCACTTTTCCCCATGCTCAGCACCAGCTTGTAACCTGCCCCTGCAGCCAACCTGGGACTCGTGCTGGCTCCGGGCTCGCCTGTCGGGGCTGTGCCACAGCAGCAGCAGCTGCGGCCCCCCAACTTGCTGCACCAGGCAGCGTTTGCTGCCGTTGCCTGCCTGGAACTCGTGCACTGGGCAGCCCAGAGGCGGCAGTAGCAAACACTGCCCAGCATGGCAAGCGGGGGTTCCACAGTTGCTAATGCCGCAGCGCAGCCCTGATGGACGAGCCCGGAGCTGGCACAGGGCCCAGGCTAGCAGCGGCGGTGGGTTACAAGCTAGGCTGAGTGTGGGGAAAAGAGGCCCTTCCCCTGCCCCATAGCCAGCACCTCGTGCTGCAGCCGCTCATAGCCTGCTGCTTTGTGTCCCAGAGAGAAGCAGCAACTACCTTTGGTAGTCATCAGAGCTTCTCTGATGACTCTATGCTTCTATTCCAGAAAAGTCAAATGGGCTACCCCAAATCTGGAGAACTGATTTTTGGAGAGAAGGTGCATGTGGTATGCAAGTAAATATGATTGTACTTATTAAATACCGTACGTGTCCACTGCGGGGACACAATATCCCAACTTTGCAGAGAAAACAAAGTTTATATAGGTGGCTTCCTTTTTAAGTATTGTGGTCACACATTCTTACAGAAAAATGTTACCCTTATTCAATTAAACTTTTTCATGATTTAAAAACTTCTCTACAAAAGAATATTTCTGGTATTTACCCAAAGAAACATCAAAAAGTTTTTCCTTCAAAATATTTTGGGCTTTTTTAATGTTAATTTACATGAAGGACACACAGCACTCTCTAATAGCAAGCCCACTGCAGACAAATACTATGCTAGGTGCTCCGTATAAAACAGGCAATGGATATACAATACACGTGGGTATTTCTTAAGTAGAAACTGAAAATTACGCTAGGCTTTTCCTTCCATTTATATTAATGTCAATGTAAGACTAGAATGAAGCACCAAATCAAACCAAGATCTAAATCCAGATTTCTGGAAGAAAGGAGATAACGAATCTTAGTAATTAATTCAACACTTCCAACACACACACACAACAACAAATATTCAGGTTTCCTTTTAATCTCTTCCAAAATAAAAATAAAAAAATAAGAAAAACAGTCTCAGGTTTGGGGATGTACCTTCTCCAAGAGAAAATAATTTCCCTTTTTCCTTCCCAAACACAAAAGAGTTCAG